CTGTTAAAACTCACGTTTATAAAGTATTTCAATACGCTAGGGAATCTATAGTAATATTTTATTGAATAATTCTAAATACGTAAACGTAATGGTTAACTTTTGTCCACGAGCATCTATGGGAACGTTCGATTTCGTGTCTGACAGAAGTAATATATTTTCTGTCGATATTACGCCGCGGCTGTTGAATAAATATCCCAGAACGTTCGACGACAATAAGACTGATACACAGAGGAAAGTGTGAAAGCGCGCGTGTCGCTCGGGGAAAACGCTCCAGTCCGACGCGTTCACTTTAAAGCGATCGCTCGGCGTTTAATCACGGATAGCCGTGATCCGCGGTTAACACTGTCTATTTGTCATAGAACCGATCGTTCGCAATGGCCGCGCCATTTCACGCACCGGCGCTAAACCAAACTCTGACCATCCAATATTTCCGTAACCGTTCCGCGCGATTCCCTCGAACAACGACCGGAATAATGGAGCCAACCGGACCGAGACACGCTTCTGTTTCGCTCGAGGAATCCTCCAACGCGCAACGATCGCTTTCACGCCACGTACGGTGCAAAATTGCTATACAGAACCGCGTACGTTTCAAGATTCGACCCCATTTTCGCTTACTTTTTAGTTAATCTTGCGTTAGGAATGTATTCGATCGATATTGCTTGATCAGAGGGTGCAGATACTATTTTACGTGAAAATTGTTCTCCGCGAAAGGTCGATAAACGTTTAAATTTTCTTTGAATGTAAAACTATGGGGTGGCGAGGTGAGAATCACGAACGTTCCCTATATCTTCCGTTATACGAGTTTAATCGAGATTGTACCGTGCTCCAAGTTGCTCGAAACATACGTGGCCCGTTTACGGTGGAAGATTCCATCGCGAGAACTGCTCGAAAATGGTTTCCACGTTCCCGAAACGGAAATTCTTGATAAAAAAAACAGTTCGTCGTTACAAGCAGTAAACGACGAAGACGAACACGCGATCGAGTGTCTTTTTCAGGGGAAGATAAATAGTTTTTTAACGGCAAAAGACGCGGGGAACTTATTGGACGATCATTGGGTTATCTCTCGCGAAATTAATGGAGAACGAATGCTTGAAAATTAAACCGTACTAGACGGTTGTAACCGAGGTATTTTCGAACGGCGATAAATCAACGTCGTCTTTAAATTTAAAACAGCTCCCGAAGACGCTCAAAAGCACCGGTCGATGTTGACAATGGAATTTCCAACGTTAACCTCGACGAAGTACCCTTACAGGACGTCGCAAAACTAATTCGACAAGCTTGAAATATCGCGGGGACATAACCGGGGCTAAATTCTGGTTCGCTTTTGCGTAATTGAATCCGTGCTAAACCGTCTTGGATTTACCATTTAGCGAACACCGTCTTACCTTTGTTCGTTGCCAATCCCCGGATTTATCCGCTTGGTGAAGTAACTGGGCCAACTAATTTTCTATAATTATTATTTTTAAATTCCGCGTCCAACGCTTTTTACGGGGCGAAATACTTTTGAAACTCTCTGTATGCAATATTTCGTGAGACTTTCACGATACTCTGATCAAGGATACTCGTCAATTTCACGGTCGTTGAAAAAATAATTTTTTTAGAACGATTTAAAAAATTTCTTTTTCGCCGAAAAATTTCAGCACCTACCCGATTTTTTTTCTCGAAAGTGGATAGGATTTCGGAGGTATGCGTATTCACCAAAAATGATAGCAATCGACTTCCGCAACCGAAAATAATTTTTCCAGAACGATTTGAAATTTATGAATTTAATTGTTAATAACTTTTTAACGAAGCCTCCATCAACAAATTGGTATTCTTCATTTTTGTCTTATTTTTCCCAAGGATAAAACACCCTGTATATAGCAACTAAAGGGTTGGTCGAGCGCTTGTGAGAGCGCGAGCCCTCTGGCGGCGAGCATGGAAAGCGACAACAAAAACCTAACCTAGACTCTAGACACCGAACCAGTAACATTTAAATACATTTATTATTACTAGAAGCTAGTATTCCATAAAACTAAATTTATTTCTCTGGTACTTTTTGTTCGACAGTGTACAGCGAAAAATACGATCGTTTTCTCGAAGAAAAATTAGTTCCGCGCGTGTCATTCGAGCAAAATGGAGGGTAATCTAAGGGACACCATCGTTTGTCAGGGAGTATCACGAGCAGATATCAAAGAATGATAATTGCTTGGCTCGCGTTCGTGGTAACGGGCTTCCGGTCGAAAGCCACGCGAGCTTGCCATTTCCACGTTGCCCGTGTGCTCGAAAGAACGGAATCGTCGCTTAATTAACCTGTCAGAACACAAACAGCCCCGCTGACGAGCTTTCTACGCAGTCTGGACTAGCGTTTGTCCCGTGAAACGCGTCGATTGGGAAAATTTTAGTTAAAAGTGATCGAATTTACATTTTTTCTTTTCTAAATATACTCCTTTACCTTAACGCTGTATAATTTGTTTCCTTAACGCCCTACGTTTCGAACGATTTCGTTTTCAATCGAGGTTCGACGCTTCGAAATCGACGCCCATTGTGCAAATAGATCGTGATCTCGCACTCGGAAGATTCTCGGTTACGAATGACGAAGCATTTCGAGAGATTGCGGGCGCATAGACCGGATTAAATTAAATCCACTGGGTAAGACGAACTTCGTTATTGGAAAGTTTTGTTTACGGTGCCGTCGTACCCGCGTCGAAACGAAATTTAAACGACCCGCCATCGAGAAATTTAATACGCGGATACACGGTCTAGCCGGGTTCCTTGGCAGCATATTTCACGAGAAAAATTTAATAATTCATGTAATGGTTCGTTTCCTTGTCAATATTTTCGAATAAAACACACCCCGGATACCGCGAGCTTTATGTAATATTCATTGACGCTGCAAGGATATTGTTACGCAAACGTTATCGACCAGTTTTTGGCCATCCTCGGACGCGAAACGCATCAAGAAAATCTACCGAGAAAAATTATTTGTTTCCTCGTATAAAGCAACGATGAATCAAAAAATTTAATCGTCTACGACGACCGGAACAATTCTATATTTAATTACGTAGCGACCGTGCATCGAAAGCCGAAAAGAGAAAAATCCGAACCGCGTTTTAATAGACGTTTAACGATTCTGTGATTTTTTTTAATTTCCTCGACAGCGTTGAAACGCTAATGGAACAGTTAGTCGAGTATGCTAATGGCCGAGGAGGTTAGAATCGCGATAAACGGCCGGCTCCCGTAATCGAGTTTTCCGTTCTCCCATGCTCGAACTTGTCTATTTAGTTATAACGACGTAATTACACTGAATCACACTTATCGCTGCGTATTCGGGGCCCCGTGGAATATCGAAAATTAGCCTACGCTTTACCACCGTAATCCTATTACCGTGGAGTTCCTGCAGTCGCGTGCAATTCCTGCGAATATCGTGTTACGCGATACACGGGTTCGTTTTTACCACGAATACACGTTTGCTTTTACTCTTTATACCACGAATTGTTCTCTACGGTAGTAAAACTTGTTATTTGAAAGTTTCTGGCGGCTGTGTCAAGTCTAGGTTAGCTAGTACGGTAGTAAGAGTTGTTACTTGAGAGTTTCTGGGGCCTGCGTAGGGTCTAGGTTAGCTCATACGGTAGCGCGAATTGTTACTTGAGAGTTTCTGGGGTTAGATCTGTTACGTAGTACGGTAGCACGAATTGTTACTTGAGAGTTTCTGGGGTTAGATTTGAGTTACGCAGTACGGTAGCACGAATTGTTACTTGAGAGTTTCTGGGGTTTTTGAATACGAAAAGAGTATCAAATTCAACGTAGTTTCAAAAATATTTTTCCCCTACTTATTTTAATGAAGTTTAGTATCTAAAGGTTTCCTGGAAACCATATTTACCGTGCAGAATGTACCATTTTAAATTATACAGAGAATTATAGAATTCGAGAATAAAGTTTATGAATGTTTCTTATGACTTACAGAATTTGATGTATGCATCATTTATTGAACTGGTCAGCTTACTCGTATGCCCTTTGGATCTAGATCTTCTGTAAATTTTCATCCTGAAGTCCACAGTCTGCCAAATCAGCTTCCAAGTGCCCTGAAAAATACTAAACTCTCAGTATCTATTCTAAACCTCGATCATATATTCAAAAACATAATAGTAAACGCCGTTAAAATATAATTTTGGAACATTTTTCGTCGTGTATAGAAAAGTTTTCAAAATGTAACATAATTGGCTAAATTCACATGCAAAAAGTTATCACACAAGAAAACTACGTATAAAGAAATACTTACAGAGAAATGAACTTGCAGAATGTAAACTAAATAATTGAAACAACACAAAATTACAACTACAATTTATTCGAGCTGCAACCACCAACGCCACACTTACGCGGCAATCGAGAATCAGAAGCGTTGCCTTCGATGCTTGAGAATCGAAATCGTGTTACTAGCGACGCCAAGCGGCGACTTCCTTTCCTACGGTGGCGGCTGATTGCGGCAGAAGGCGCGCGTTTCTCTCGTCGTAAATTCAAGTTTATTTAAAAATAATCAAGTGATTCTTTATTCGTAGCATCTTTTCGAAGAACCATAACGTACGCGGTAAGTTTTCTGACAACAATTAACGTTTTCTAGCAAGTATTTTCGTGAAATTTCATATTTCGTCGTCGTCTCGGTGTCGAATCGTTTTGGCGGTATTCTTCCCTACGAAATCGAAACTATGGTCGACTATTTCTTTGATTTTTCCTTTTCGTTATTTTATTTTAAAACGAAATTGAAACGACGCAAACAGAATATTTATCAGTAATCGATCATTATAGGTCTTGCGAGTAACTTTTATGATTATAATTATAAAAATATAATTATTAGCGTTATTCTGTACAAGGCGCCGTTTTCTTGCGCATGTGCATGCTGGATATTGCAAATGGCGAGTCTAGCGGTGAAACTGTGCTTGATTGAACTAGTTCAAATATATTTGTTCGGGGAGGAAATATAATTTGATCGTTAAATAAGTACACCGTGTTTAATCGTTTCGACAAACATTTCACGATCTGTTCCACTTTTATTGGTAATTAATAAAAGCAAACTAGTAAAATCACAATTCAAATTATTACATTGCAATTTCGACGCATTTCCGTTCAATTCAAATGAACGTCTCACCATGATTAATTTACTCTTTGCAGGGGAATGAAGCTGTTACAACGGATTCAGAAATTGCAGGGAATGAAGCTGTTACAACGTATTCAGAAATAATAGAGGAACTGATTCATCATAGCTGGTGACGAGGGTACCACGAGCGACAATGTTGGGTAAGTAACGATAAATAATAAAAATCGATATATGAAATACGTAGTCTTTCGATTCGAATAATAAAATCGTAAAACAACGAGTAAAACTACGACAATAGTATAATTTCTCTAAAAGCAAACACATGATTAAATGCTTCCTTATAAATTCAATTCGGACGTTTAAAGAAATTTAATTTAAAAAATACACTTTCTGAATATTTACATTTTCTTTCATTCTCTTATACTTTAAAATAGAAAGCAACGGTTTCATTATTGTAATGAATTTAAACTAATTTAACAATGAAGCAGATGTAGTTTTATATACAATATTTTCATTGCTTTTAAAGAATCTTTTTCCATTTGCGTAACATCTTAAGGAATAATGATGCGGATACAAATGTTGAGATACTAATTCTAGACAGTAAAGAGAATCCAGAAACTGATATCATTTCTAGACCAGATTAACAACGATTGTATTACTACTTAGGGTATACGTACTCAAATTCCTCTGTCGTTACAAATGAACAGCATTCTGCGTTACTAGTGCATTTCACGTAGACTTTACAAAGCTTCATATTATTTGTTACGCAAACTTCATAAATAATATTCATACCATATAAACGCTGTGTTTATCAAATTACAACACATTGCAGGACACGATTATATTTATTAACCGTACACTTGCCATTAAATCTATCGTTCGTACGTAGTAAAATGTACAACCTGTGAGAGGTATATTAATGAAAATCGTATATCGAATCGTACACACTAAGATTCGGACAAAATGTCCTCCAAAGTTTTGTCGTCGTGGAGGGGCGAGTGCCCTAACGTAGGATCGCTCTCTAGAAATTCACGTAGCTCGGTTTCTAGATCAGGAACTGCAGACGCCTCCGACGTATTTAACAACGACGAAGGTGTCTGACTGTGCGTCATACCGATCTGTATTTGAATCGGTGGTTGATTCGCGGTCACGATACTGATCGGTGGATTTTGTGAGCTGGCCGGGCTAAGCAAACTTGCGGTTTGAATCGGCGATGGCGTCGGTAGCAGACTCGACGAGACCTGACTGTTGGTCGTTTGCGATAACAGACTATTTTCCGCGACGATCGTTGGATTGTGCGTGATAGGCTCCACTTCCATAGGCTCTGGTCCACCGAGAGGCGCTATTCCCATGGCTCTTCGTAAGCCATCGACAGGGGCGATGGCCGAAGGAGGAAGTTTCTTTGCTATTTCCGTTAGATTGTCCGTGATCTTGTCTGCCAATGCCACTTCGTTCTCTGTCGGCTTAGGAACATTCGATAAATGCGTGGGCGGTGGGGCTGATAGGCGATCATGTTGCGCTTGCTTTAAACGACCTATCATTTGAGACGTATCGTCCAATCGACTTTGTAGAGTTGCGCGTTCCTCGGTTAGCTTCAATTCATCCTCTGCAAAGAAAAGAAAATTTGAAACATTAACATTGTTCCTAAACACGTTTCAATTCTTTTTTTGTTTCTCTTTTTTTTTCTAAATATAATTACCTAGGGTTTCCAGAAAATTAACGTCAATGCCTATCTCTGAAAGCGTTTTCAACTGATCAATGTCGACTTTAACGCTGTCCATAGCAGAAATATTACGGTTTACGTCTTGCATGGGTTTCTCTAATAAATGCTTTATCTTTTCTTCCTCCTCTTTGAGCCTTCGTTTCTCTTCAAGAAATTTCTTCGTCTTTCTGTGGTCCCCGCCTGTTAAGATGTCCAGTAGGTCGTCAACCATAGTCAATGTATAATCACAGTCTTTAGCAAAGTCTAGAATGGATTCTGCATATTGTACAGCAGTTTCATCGCCATAAGTTTGATACACCAAATCTGTTTCGTCCTTGGTAAGATTAGCAAAGGTGGAATCATAACTTGGCGCATAAGAACCAAAGGCACCGTAATACAAGGGTTTCACTGGTTTGGACATGTTTCTTCTATCCTCACGGAATCCTGCCAATGCACCTGTTCCGTGATTCAATTTACCTATGAGCTGACCCAATGATACAGGTCTCTGATTAGTTCCTGGAATCACACCGTCTCCTGGTACTATTATTTGTAAGCTAGTAGTTCCATCTTTCTTTTGTCTGAGGAAACCCATTTTCGAATTCAGCCTTTTCAACGACAGCTTTTCTGATGCTGCTTTCGCAGCTCCTCGTGCTTGTTTCAAAATTTCATCCGGAGTCATATCGTCGGGGATCGCTTCGAATTTACCTAAACTCGCTAATCTCAATTTTCTCTGGTTTTCTTTTCTAAGTTCCTCAGCTTCTTCGTTGCGTTCCTCTTGTTCTCTTTCTCGTTCAATCTGTTCTTCGGTGACAGGAACATCTGGATTATTTGGATCTTCGACACCTAATTCGAATCCAAGTTCATCTTTTGAAATATCTTGCATATACGTTAAAACCGGTCTCAACTGTCGTAGCTTGTCAGGTGTAACCATTTTTAGGCCAACGTGCAGCAATTTTTTTGCCGCTTTGAAGTAAATCGTATCTGGATGGTTGTAAGTGGTGGCATTGTCACACATTAATTTAAAGTCATCTACGAATTCGCTTAAATTTTGATAACTATTATCATCTATCTTCTGCTTTATGGTGCTAAAATCCATAGGATTGGTTATGATCTGGGAATATCCCGGTGCAATGCTATCCGTGACCGGCCATGCAAAAAATTGCTGCGGATCACGTTTCTCCATTGACCTAAGGAGGTGTTCGAGTAACCGTTGTAGGGGCGTACGTTCAGCGATTTTTCTAAGCACGCAAGTTCTAGGTTCTCGATGCGGAGAAAGAGAGCTAATTTGATTCGTAAGACTAACTCTGTGCTCTCCGCTCGAGGGTGGTCTTGGAGGTAATAATTGGTGATTCGGAATCTTCTTGGGGACTTCCGCTAAACTTTCATCCGCATCTCCCACTGATTCTTGGCTGGATTCCTCCCGCCTTCTCTTCTTATCTTTATGATGATGCTTATGTCTTTTATCCTTCTTTTTCTTTTTCTTCTTAAGCTTTTTGTGCCCCAGATACCTATCGTATTCAGATTCCTGCGTTACGGAACAGTTGATACCCAACTGTTGCTGGTAAACACCCAAATGTTGAGACAACATTGTTGCCTGACTTGGAGATTCGTTACCGTATTCAGGTGTCCCACTGCTACCCCCTACTTTTAAAATAAGCTTCAAAGCTCGGGGTTTGTCCGTGGTTGTATACTGTCCTTCTGTAATAAGACACAAATTATTTAAAACGTATAAAAAATGATATTGAAATTATAAAACGTATGAGAAATAAAATTAAAGCATTAAGCTATGAGTAATAATTATTGCAAATCTATTGCATGCGATAAAAATGTCTTGCAAAAAATTATATAAAAGTGCAAAATAACAGCATGTTGTCACAACATATAATACAGTGCTAGATATTGTATAATCTTGCAGGATCATAAAAAAAAGCGTAGTCGTAAATTAATAAAATCTACAGGACGTTAACAGAAGGGTAGCAGGAAATATCGATGCTAATAATGAAGATGACAGTGACCTTGTTTCCACATTCAACAAACTGGAAGCGAGATGGAAGTAGCTTGACTTAAACTAAATAAACCTTGAGAGAAGTATGCAATAAAATAATTTTCGTTGTATCGAACAATCGAATTTGTAGGAATAATTAGGAAGGAGCAATCATTGAAATTGAAAATACCTCGCAAAGAGGTAAAGCGAAAGCACGTATGGCCTTTGATGCCATAATACATAACAGCCAGGGAACTAAAAGATTGAAGCGCAACAGACACATCGATAATTCAGTAGGTACAAAGCATCTCTATAAACCTCTACTTTAAAAACAATAAAACAATGGTATCGTTAAAGATCTTGTTGCGCTTCAACTGATCTTAATAGACAAAAAAAACTGAAAGGGTTTGGGACATTCAAGTAATTTTGGAAGCACAGCTAGTTTCTGTCGTGCAACCAGTCCATGTCCATTGTTACACGTCACTTACTTCCAGGTCGCACTTGTCGCCGTGGAACCTTCGTTTATACTTTTGAATCCACCTCACTTCTACTCCAACCTCACTCTCAGTTTGTCCGTGGTGAAAACGTAGTCAAAATTCCTGTGCATCATTAATCTATGAGTACAAAAAGGATTCCAATGAAAATAGAAGTACAGTTCAGAAGACTCGACCGTTAATCTCCTGGCTAGATCGTTTAGCTTTCAAGGTATGTATTTTTCATTTGAATCCTCATGCAGTCAACAAGAGCATCGACATAAACGTCGATGCTAAAGAATTATATTTAGTGCTGTATTCTAATAATGCGATAATTTATTGACAATAGCAAATGAGCAATTGTTAACCCTTTGACTGCAAATGCATTATATGTACCACACGAAAAAGTTTACCTCAGCATAATGCTTTTTTTTGAAGCAACAAACGTTCTTTAGTCAAAACACGACGCAGTCGAAGGATTAAACAGAATGAAACGAGGACAAACAGAATATTCGTGAAGCCAGACACCCCGTTACTCCGACGCACACCGCATCCAGAAGAAAAGCGTCGTAAACAATATAGAACGTAAACACCTAATAACATAGCGACGAGCTGTCATCACGTGCACGATTCGAGGAACGAATGTAAAAACAATATCGCGTCGAAGCGGCTGCTGAAGCGCCGTTTGAACGTGAGGCGCGCACCGAGTTCGTAAAGTGCACAGTGTGCAGCACGATCTAGAACGACTATTTATAAGGTGGCGCGATAACGCGACGACCTATGGTGCCGAGACGACGTTAAGGAGTAATTAATCGTGACGAGAACAACGATAAGACGATCGAGATACGCCGGATTTGAGCCCGGTCCTCACCTTCGTGCCTCTCGCGCTTGTGCTTTTTATGTTTCTTCGAGCCCATGGTTTGCACGTTGGGCCACAGCTTGATGAGAAATTCTAACAAGAAACAGTAAAGACTACGTCCTGAACCACCACGGAACGCGGTTTGCGAGTGGACCGCGCTCCGTTACGTGTGTAGATAGTACGGCAGCGGCCATTGAAGACGTCACAGATATCCAAGCCGTTATGGAGGACGCACGTCGTACGTTTCCCCCGCCCGACCGTCTATTCGCCATCTGCGCCATCATGGCGACGCGTCGCTCGAAGAAGCGCGAGTTACGAATTCGTTCGAACATCCAGCGCGCTACCTCCTAGTACAGATACCCGGCAATTTGGTATCCGGTATCCTCGAAAACCTCTTCTTCCGACACTCTTCTCTTAATCCAAGAAACAAAAATTCGTAAAATGTAAACGTACCGGGCGGCAAAAGCATTCGAACACGGCGGGGTCCATGGTATCCCTACTTCTGGATATCGAGAAGTTTCTAGAAACCAAGTATCAATTTCGGACTTATCGTCACCGGTGAGAGGAGTCGAGTGCCGATTTGCTTAATCTCTGCCGGCCGGCAGCGCTGCGCACGCGACGTTACGTTTCGATTAAGGCCGCGAAAGTCGAGCGACGTTTTATTCCCGTTGATCCCGAGCGGATTAACGCAACGAGGGCGTCGGTGGAATCGAGTTTCACGAAGTGGGTGAATCCTAGATGGACGACGGTCGCGCCAACGAGGTCGTGGACGTCGACAGGTTCACGAGCGTTCCCCGGTGGAGCCAGGGATACGTTTCACGCGCACCACGCGCGGTCGACGATCTCCCCGAGCACTATGCACGGAGCTTTAAAAAGCGAAAGGCGCTTCCTAACCTAGAAAAGATGATTGAGGTGCTGGCACTTACCGTGCGCCGTGCAACGAGACGCCCGGACCGTAATCACAGACACGATTCACGGGCACAAGGATCGTATATAGCACTGAACCAAGCGAGACACGAGGCCAGATATTCCTCGGTGAACCCGTGGGAACTCGCCGCGGCCGAGTACGAACCCGAGAGTCAGCCTCGATGCAATTAAAGGGGCAACGGATGATCAGCTGTTTCTCGAAAACGCCGTGAGAGCAGGACAGAGAGAGCGAGAGGAACGCATTCCCTCGCGGCGAAAAAATTCACGCACACTGTGCAGATGTGCCCGCGTCTCCGGCCACGAACGCCGAAGACTCAGACGAACGATTCCTGTTCCTCCTCGTCCCTTTAAATCTCCCGTGTACGCGTAACAAAGGGGAGCTCGATGCACGGGGACGCCAACCACGGTCGCTTGCGTTTCACTGCGCTTCCCCTGGCAGGAAACCACAAATTCGCCAACTTGTTACTCGCGATACGGCGTTGCAAGTCGGCTCTGTTCGTTTCGTCGCCTGTTTGGTTTACTCCTCGAACGAAACGCCACGATACTCTCTCAGACTCGAATTTGCCGCACTTTTGGAAACGCGTTGACCGCCAGTGGCGCGTTACGCGAGGGCATTTTCTCCCGGGGCTCCCAAAGTTTTCTTTCAAAAAATTTCTTTGAAAATTGAGGAGTTTCTAATCTTGCTGGATGCATTTCCCGGCAGAGTACACTCCACCACAGAATGCCACTGTATTTCACGGTATCGATCAGACTTGAAAGCTGTTTCTTCGGGATAGGCACCTTGTGTGCATCGATGACGAGCTAATTCGATGGAATATTATTTCACGATAGGAATATTCGTGGAACTTTAAGCTGAAAATCCGGTCGTATCATTTTGTCGCGGAGTGTATTGTCGAGCCTGACAAAGGCGACGACGACAATGGACTGGCATTATCAATGGAATGCAACAATAAGCGCGCCAACCCCAAGGACTCCGGCAGCTTCTGCCGACGAACTCCGTTCGTTCATCAGCTTCTGCCTTTCCATTAACGCTCGCCGTAGTCTTCGGTTTATTTGAAATTCTAATGGCGGCTTATCAGCAGCGAAACGGTCCCCACCGAGTGCTCAACTATTCTTTCTAAGCTTTCGTGCGCTCCCGTTACGGGGATTGAGTTATACGCGAGGAAAAATGCACAAAAGCTCGCACGCGTAAGCTCGCTTCGCCTTTAACGAGGCTTGGTCCCTCGATATTGCCCATTAAACCGATCCTGCGGCAGGATATCCGATAAAAGAGCTTCTCGGATATCGGCCGTTGGATCGAGTGCCTCTTTACGATCCACCGACACGGTTATTACCTCCCGTTGGTATCCCGACGAACTTTTCGAAGACCCGGAGGCATCGTGTCTATGATATCTTACCCAATTAACCAACATTGGCCCCCTTAATCCTTTAACTGCAGAGAAAAATCAATGCCACGCAGAGAAATCCTCCATTTTCTGCTATCATCGCGTACCAAGCTTCTTCCGAGACGTCCTCCTTCAGAAAAGAGAGAATTAACGTAGAAAGCTTCTCGACTACCTCTTTTAAATCGTTCTAGTTTGAACAGACGAGTCGTCGAAGCAAGTACTATGCAGGGATCGTAAGTTATCGAGCACCCACTGAGAGTAGGTCATTTATTCGGCTTAGTATCTTTAAAAAATCCTCACCTTTAGGTTCTCAGCGATTATATTGGCTCGATTTCTTCCAGTTCTTTACACGTCCACTAAAAAATAAGTATAGTAATAATTTCTGTAGCTTTTCCGAAGTTGATCACTGATCAAAATCGTCCATGTCGGATTTAAAAACTTTCGAGCCTGAATAAAATTCATTCTCTTCGAAGCTCTTTCTTCGAAGGAGGAATTGTATTTTTTTTTATTGAAATATAACAACACCCGGGCATATTTAGTTTTGCTTCTTACCGCGTATAGCGTTAGCATTTTATTCCAGCCTGAATCGATAACGTTGGATGTGACACGAAAATGATAAAGGGGCCGGGGCAGCGATTCGTCCACCAAACGTTCCATCGGACGTTTCGTTTCTTTTATATCTTCTCCGCGATGGAACGCGATATCTGCACCGGAGTATTCCGGATGAAGACTTCCGCTTCCTGCTGCCACCTAGAATAACCCACATGCAACCGACGAAAGATTCGCGATTGCCCATCCACCGTAGATTCCATTTTACCGAGAGTTTTTGCTATTTCCAATACAAATTACATAGAGTATTGTTTCTACGTTTCAAAATCCAAACATGGTCCATAGAAAAATTGGAATATAAAATGTTCACTGCAAATGGTTCGTACAGTGGCTGTCGATTGCGTTCTCCCTTTTGTTTCCCTTTTCGTTCCGGCGCAATAAAGGCGCGAAATAAACGAATAAGCATGCAAATCCGCGCGAATCGAGAAGCTCGAGTCCCCGGGATTCCTGACGGCCGATCGATCGCGTCCCCGAATCGCGATCGATCCTCCGGGCGCTCGATAATCGGCCGTCGTTCGGATAAAAATCCGATTGGCAATTACGGGCTCGAGCATTTCGAGACACTCGCACTTAAAGAGATTCCGCGATAATCAATACTCTCCCTCGCCGACCCCGGGAGTCCCTTTACAGCGAACAAAAGTGTCTTTCCGCTATGAAAATGGCCACGTAGCTTTGTCGTTTGCATTGCAAACGAATCTGCGAACGCGAAACGGGCTAACGAGATCCCCGGCGGAACGTCGACCCCGTAGGATTCCGAATTAAGAAACAAGTATTTGGAATTAAGAACAGAGAGACGGGAAAATTATACACGTTTAATCCGCGTTTCCTATCTCCTACCAATCTCCACGCAAATTAATTCGTTCCTTTTTTTATTATTAATATACTCTGATAGATTCAATTTCGGTAGATTTAAGTTGCAAACGATTTTCCTTTACGTAGCATGATCTCTCGAATACTCTGTGGATTTTCCAACGTGTTCTTACCAGCGAATTATTAATTTACTAATATTATCAAACACTTTTTAAGCGTAGAAATATTTCGAGAATATTAAAAATATTACTCTATTTCTCGGACTCGGTACCAATAAAACGAACAATTTATAACACAAATGGGGTTTTTCTTTTCTATATTTTTCGTTGCCAGCGGCGTACTCGATTTCCGGGCTGCGTAAAAAATCGACCCCGGTAGCGTATCCTTCGCGTAAATCGTGGGACCAGCGTACTATCATAAATTTTGTTCCTGCTCGCGACAGTCCGTGTAGTATGTTCTCCTTTATCGGAAGTTTCGAGCGTCCATCTTGTTCGAACTTACAAAAACGACCCGTAAAAAAATCGAGTACAAAGATCGACGAGCGGTAATACTTTAATTTATTTAACACGGTAGAAATTAATATTTGGCCCTTTCGAAGAAACGGTAAATAGATTCCTCGACCGAGGGAGAGGTCACCGTAGAGTACAGTTGGTTTCCAGATGCAAAACTTTGAGCAAAGTCGAGCTTGTATATCACAGTTTCTGTCCTATCGCCCGAGCAATAAACACAAACTTCCGCGAAAAGTCCTTCTCCTCGTCGACTTTCCCTACCGTGGCGTTTTAAGACGAACGTAAAGCGAGGAAAGATGATAGGAAAAATTCAATTAACGAGACTTTCAGTAAAATGTTGCGCTCAAAAGTTCGGGAAGTGGCCAAGAAGACAACTTATCAAGACAGGCTTAAGGCACTAAACCTCCTAAGCGTCGCGTAGGACCGTTTATGGTCGCCAAACGTGTGCAAAATCAATACTAAAATAATCAGAGTAGAAGTTCGTTATGAATAGTACGCGATAAAATTTAATCTACCGGACCCCATTAGGTTGTATAATAAGTCCGTTCGAGTCTCAACTTTGGTACTTTATTACAAACTTTTTATCGCGTAGTCGGACGATTAACAACCGAAAAATGGATCCCCGATAATTGCGTTGTTCTTTACGAACTTGCGATAAAAAAGAATAAGGTAATTAGAAAAGTTAACACGAACGATAAAACTGTAGAAAACACAATTATACAGATAGCCTATCGGGGAAAGAATTAACGCGAAAGTATTAAATTTTGGATAAAAAAAATCCAGATGTACCGATAATCGAAATCCACAAATCAATGAAAAAATATCGATAGAGTCGTTTGATACGGGACACTTCAAACAATTGATAACAATGTTGCAATATGAACGTAAATATATAAATAATAAGTTTTTGGTTTACAGGAAGGATAAATCTCGAAGAGACTGGATCGGATGTACAGGGT